GAAACTCGATTTAATTATAGTCTCTAGCTTATGATGTTACCAACATTGTTTTAATATGTTTTTTCTTGAGATTTTGTGGTGAGATTTTTCAAAAAATTTCATTGCCATTTTGATTTCTCGATTAGACTATGACTTTATATGGCTATATATATTGAGATTGAGAAAGTGGTTTTTAAAAGACCCTATGAATACCCTCCCCTAGTTAGCAATACAATGAGATATAGTTAGGTATTTGGGACCCATCACGGCACACATATATGCTTTGGGCAGATGAATAAAATAAAAACGAATTTGTTGATGAGATTTTAATTTTTTAAGTCTTAAAATAAATCCAATAGTTTTCCAACCATATTGATGCTTATTGGATAAGAATTGACAAGTTAAGCTCAATTAATTATTCAAATACGAACTAATAAATCAAACAATCTGACTATAAAAGGATTTGGGCTAAGGCCCAACACCTACTCCCCACAAATTCAAATTCCAGATTCCCCACCAAACAATAATTCAAAGCCCATCACCGTCCACTACCTCATCTGGCCCAACTGGCTATTTCTCACCCTAAAAAATAGTTAAAACATTTAAAAAAATCGAGAATAGCTGCATGGCTATACTATTTAATATATATATATATATATAAAAGGGAACAGACGCACAACCCTTTGGCGCCGATGTGGAAAATAGTATAGCTATGTGGCTATACTATTTTTTATATAAAAAAGGACCCCCCACCAATTAGACGCCACTTGTCAAAACTAGTCTATTTTTAAAAAATAAAAAAACACGGGGTATAGCCGTGCGGCTGTACTATTTTTTAGAGGACCCGCTAGCGCCACGTGTCAAAAATTAGTTTTAAAAAAATCGTAGTATGGCCGACCGGCTATACTATTTAAATACATTATATTCAAAAGGTATAGCTGCAGGGCTATACTATTTAATAATAAAATAAATAAATAAAAAAGGACCCTCCTAATTTCATTAGTTTGTACTTTATACATATTAATTTGCTAGTTTCAACATATCCAAAGTATATATTAATTGGCCACTATATAATGTTGTAATATAATTCTTATAACATATATTATTCTTATTCAATAGTATGTGAGAATTATTTGTATAATACGTGAATTTTGTGTCTTGCTGCAAATTTTGTAAAAAATATGTGTATTAAACATTAGAAATACATATGTACATGTACAATACGACTATTCCACATTTCCTTTTTAAAAACCGTGAGATGCGCATAGATATATAAGACTATAGCCACTCGTCTATACTATTTATTGAAGACAATTTATAAATAAATAAATAAATAAAGAAGGGTAAAGCCGGCCGGCTATACAATTTTTTTAAAAACATTTTAAAACAATCGTGTATAGCCGAACGGCTATACTATTTAATATATATATATATATATATATATAAAGAAATCCACGAGAAATCAGGTGTAATCTCTATCTTGAGCAGAAATTTTCAAACCCAGATTAAAACACTATCACAGAACCACAACCCATATGGAGAAAAGAGAGAAAAAAATAACCATTAACATTGATACCCATACCTGATTGTCAGGTCCGCTCTTCAACTGGTGATGGTGGAACTGCCATTCAGCTTGCGAGAGCTAGCTCTTCCTCTTCCTTCATTTCCTCTTCTGCGTAAGTGCTTGACTTAGGTCTTTTGCGGGTCATTTGTGAGTGAAAACGGGTTAAAACTTTGACAACAATCACGGCCGCACAATCTCATGAAAACGGGTTAAAACTTTGATACAGTTAGGTATTTGGGACCCATCAAGGCACATATATATGCTTTGAGCGGATGAATAAAATATAAGAACGAATTTGTTGATGAGATTTTAAAATAAATCCGATAGTTTTCCAACCATATTGATGCTTATTGGATAAGAATGGACAAGTTAAGCTCAATTAATTATTCAAGTACGAACTAATAAATCAAACAATCTGACTATAAAAGGATTGGGCTAAGGCAATACAATCGAAATCAAATATTGGGTTGGGCCAGGGGCGGGTCTGGTTCCACCCATCCAATTTGCATCCCTATACTAGAATTAGTAAAACATGAACAAAAAGCCAAGCACAAATAAACAGACCGTCGTGAGGCTCATGAAGGTATGGAATGAAAAGCCTGACCAGAGACATGCAAAGCTCATGCCTCTTGAGTCTTAACGCGCATTCTATGCAGCATGAAAATAACATCCACACAGCCTATATATATAAATAAAACCATGCATCTGTCTCTATTGCCTTCTCTTCAGTCATTTCATCACTTTCATCTCTGTACTCTCTCTCTCTCTCTCTCTCTCTCTCTCAAAACAAAACAAAAAAAGAAGAAGAAAAAAAAATGTCTGGGAAGGAACTTGACCAAGAGCTCAAGGAACTCGTCAGCTCCTTGCAAGACCAAGTCCTTCCTCTAATCTTTTACTTTTGGAGTTTATTGCTTTGCTTTCTCTTCTCTATTGATTCTTGTTTTTGAAGTTTTATTTATTCATCTTAATTTTTGTTTTGTTTAATGGCTGATTTTATTGTGTAATTATATAATTTCTCTTTCTTCTCTCTCTTTTTTTGTTTAATGGCTGATCAAATACTATTTAATGTCACTATTTTATATTTTAATAATATATAACAAAAAGATGATCAAGTTAAATTAATATTGCAGCTAATTAACTACTATATATACGTACATTTCCTGGCAGGGAATTTTGGACGAGCAATTTGATCAAATGAAAGCAGTTCAGAATGAACAAAATCCTTGCTTTGTTGCGAATTTGATCACCACATTCCTTGGTGATGCTGAAAATATTTTGGCACAACTCAGCACATATCTGTAATTTTCTTCACTGTTTTAATTTACTATTTTGTTTTTACATATAAATTATTATATATATATATATATGTATTGATTTTGGAAAATTCAATTTTAGGAGTGCTGAGGATCCTGATGAAGTCAACTATCCCCAAGTGGCAACTCTTGCCCTCACGCTTAAGGGAAGTAGCTCAAGGTATAATAAATTGAATTAATGCCACACTTTATTTTAATTTTAAATGTTAAACCTTTTTATTTTGCACAAAAAAGGCATGAACAAAATTTTAAATTTAACATAATGTTGTGACCTAAACTAAAGTAGTCGGATCCCAAATAGCTCAAGATAAACTAAAATGTCAACTACTTTTTGACAACCGTATTTACATTGAGTTGAGTTCAGCTAAATGTTTTTTTTTCCTCTTGTTAACCGTATTTTAACTAAATGAAAAAGTGACACGTGTAAGGATGTGAAGAATTGTTAGATATTGAAAAAATTTAAAAACCTGCAAGGATAAACAAAGAGTTGGATTACTCCCCCCTCCCCCCATAAAAAAAGAAGTAACAAATAACAAATTAATTTTTTCACGCCTACTATATACATAAAGACTAACCATGGTTTTAAGTTTTTAATGTTGAATGACATATGTATAGAAAATAAGCCCAAATTATTCTTTCTTGTACATCCTTTTGTCACACTAAAGAATTTAATTACATTGATCCTCTCTGCTGAATTTGGACTTACAGTGTTGGTGGTTGCCGGATGGCGTTAGCCTGTAGCCAGCTCCGAGATGCAAGCGATGCAAATGACCTTGTTAACCAACAGTTTTTGAGGCAAGCGAAGAGTAAGAATTGGATACTATTAGAACCCTTATTTGATCTACATGGATAAAGACCTCTCTTATGAAAACTGTTTTTGACGCAAATCTTATGCTTGTAGGTGCATTATTGTTCTTGACCTTGTTAACCATCAGTTTCTCGTATTGGGGGAGAATCTGAATCACATTGTTCAGGTACCGGTAATTCTTAGCTTTAACATGCATTTTTTACTTCATATTTTCCTCTTGTTTTGTTCTAATATTCTTTTCTTTTTTTTCCCAACAAAAATCTGGAAACATAATGGAGTGCAGATGGAACGCGCAATCCATGAAAATGAGGTCATCAAAAGGCGCAATATGTAGAGAGAGCTGGTTTGTTCACTTTGTTAGGAGACCTTCTACAGAAGCTCATTGGTTTCTTTATGTTGTTGGCTATGGAATAAAAGTTCATTACTGAACTTATTACTATCTTTTATTACAGACACATATAATTTTTGGAAAAATTAAGGTCCATGGGTGAAATGCTTGTTTCATGATATATTGCAGAGATAACATGTGAAAATAAACTATTTTGAAATAACTCTTGGAAGAATCTTTTCACAAAAAATATGAACACAAATTTTAATTGATATATACTTTGAATTTCTTTTTACTTTTTTGGTTACATCAAAATATTTTACAAAAATAAGTTTATTAAAAGCTATACTTGTAAAATATTCTATTTATAGAGTATCGCTGCGCAGTGATACTTTTAAATATTATATTATAGCCGTGCGGCTATACTCTTTAAATATACACCAACAATTAAAATATGGATTTCTTTATAGCAAAGTTGAGCCTTAGAGATAATGGATCAATTAGACATGGTATGTGTTTACGTTCCAGTTTTGTTCCTCTATGTGCACTTAGGGTTGAGGGAAAATTTATGCCTTTTTTTTGTGTTGTTGCTTATCTTTTTAGGTGCCCTTTGTCATATTTCCTTAAATATATTCAACTATTTAAACAGTATATTTGCGCGGCTATACTCTTTAAATATATTATGTTTTAATTATTATTTAATATTAAAAAACAAAAAACAAAGTCCACAAAATAATTAAAATAATTATTACTATTCATTAAGTAATTTATGAAATCAATAAAATATTTAAATATTCACTAAAGAAATAATAATTAAAACATAATTACTAATTAAAGTAATTAAAAAAGCTAAGATATTACTTAATTACATATCATAAATTAAAGAAGTTGGCCGAAAAATAAAAGTAAAGAAACCAAAGTTTGCTAAACTAAACCTTTAATCTAAGAAAAAAAAAGAGCAAAGTTCATACTCTTAAACTTATAGCAACGATTTTGACCACAAAACATCTAGGAACGAAGAAGATCCTTTGTTTGTGGTGGTGTTGTTAGATTTGGATCGCTAGACTCCAATATAAATGGTTGCGGTGAACGCTCTCTGATTTCAACTTGAACGCGTCTTTCTCGATTCCCAGGATTGTTTGCCCTTTTTGCCTCCTCTTCTTGAGCTTTGGTTGGCAAGAAAGTGTGGTAGTTAGTGGTCTTCATGTTATCAGCCATGAGAATCGAATGGTTTTTCTTTTTGTCTTTTGGAGTGGATGAAGAAATTTGATAGATGAAAATTAGGGTTTTGGTTCGGGTTTTATAATGATGCATGGATGCAGTGTAATAGGAAAGTCGGATGATGGTTTACATGGAGGGAGTGTAAATGGAAATTTTATTTATTTATGAAATAATAATGAAATCTTGGCACACGCATATTAATAATAAAAATAAAAATAAACGTCTGCATAGGTGGCACATGGTAGTGTGATAAATTAAAAACATTTAAGGCACATGGAGCATGCTGCGCACGTGATAATAAAACTGCATCATGTGCGTATATAGAGGGTAGCTTAGCTATTAATAAGTGTCCCTAATGATCACAACCCTTGGGATTAATCCAACGACATGTAGTCTATGTGATTGGTTAGTACGACTACATGTTTCAGTAATTTTATTGTTCTAAACTGAATTATTTACCCCAAAGAGCTTCTGCTTGATTTCCTAGGTGCCAATCTATGTACAAAACTTAGCTTTATTTTGTCATACAAATTGGCTTTGAATACAATCTGTTAAGTTGTTAAGCAGCATAGAGGTCGATAAAGTCACTTACTAAACTTTTAAAGGAGCCAACAAAAAATAGAAAGACTATCGTGAAGTTAATCATCAAGTTATGAAAAACCAGACACTGCATATAGCAACATATACATGCTATATCATCATTCATAAAGGCTATAAAACCATTCATATGTATATGCAGAGGTTTTGTTTTGATCTCTCTCTCTCTCTCTTGCCTTCCCCTCTCTCTCTCTTCTCATTCTCTCTCTCTCTCTTTGAACGAAGGACCTTGGCCAACAGCTCAAGGAACTCATCAGCTCCTTGCAAGACCTAGTCAGTTCCTATTAATCTTTATTCAGTTTATTGCTTTGCGTATTTTTAGCTTGCTTTCTCTTTTCATTGATTTTACCAAGTTTTCTGGCAGGGCATTCTGAACGACTACTTTGACGAATTGAAAGGGTTACAAGATGAAAACGATCCTTGCTTTGTCCATGAATGTATCACCATCTTCCTTCATGAAGCTCAAGATTACAGAGCAGAACTCACAACAAATCTGTAATTAATTTCCTTAATGGGAATTTTGAAGGAACCATTTTTGTGTATGATATATTTTCGTGTATTTGTTAATAATGTAAATATATATAATTAAAACAAAAAGAGGAACAAGAAAACAACAAGACACCATTGCTAAGAATTTCTTATGAAAATATACATAGATATATACACACACACATAATATGTGTTTAAAAACAATACTAAGAGCTAAACTAAAACCATCCAAACAGATACATAGTTTATTTTGGTCATATGGAAATACAATGTTTTTTTGGTAATTAAAAATATTGTTTTAAGTGAAAGAGAAGTGACACATGTCATTGGGAAAATGGAGAATGTCCAAAAGAGAAGGTTGCTAGCACTTCCCGATCAATTTTAATTGTATAGTATGAGCTCAAATTGACTCTTAATTTTTTGCAAATCCTAGCCTTTTACTTTGGTCAATTAACTCAAATAATATTTTGACATTGATCCCATTTGCTGCATTTTAGGTGAAGCAAAGAACAAACAGTTTTTTTTCTTTTCTCTCATGATTGCCAATTGAAGGAAACTATTGTGCTTGTCTAGATTGGAATCTGGGGCCCCACAAAAATTCTGCCTAGACTGAATCTGGGGCCAAATTCCGCCCCATTTTCAGTCAACTCAAATTTCCCCCCCTCCAAATACATGGGTTGGAGAAGATGTTCGGCTAAAAATCCCAAATTTGGGTTTTGCCTCCCATGGTTGGAGATGGCCTTACAAGATGAAAACGATCCTTGCTTTGTCCCATGAATGTATCACCATCGTCCTTCGTGAAGCTCAAGATTACAGAGCAAAACTCACAACAAATCTGTAATTAATTTCCTTCACTATTCCGATGAACTATTAATGTTTTGTTTTCTCTCATGATTGCCAAATAACAATAAAATAACATATCAATTCTTTTGTTTTCAACCACATTATCCATTTGAAGGAAACTATTGTGCTTGTAGGTGCCTTGTTGGTCTAGACAATGTCAACCGTGAATATCTAGTCACTCGAGAGATTTGAATCGCATTGCTGAGGTAAAATACTTATTGGGAACTTTTAATCACTTAGAAAATTTACACGCTTTTACATTGTATTTCCCCTTCCTTTCTCTTGTATTCCATATGATAAACTTATTGGTAAGCTTTATGAAATATGTTTCCAGGCAGGGCATTTGACCGACTACTTTGACGACATAAAAGGGTACAAGAGAAAACAACACCTCGCTTCATTGACGAAATTTCACCATCTTCCTTCGTGTAGCTGAAGATTACAGAGCCGATCACTCACAATAAATCTGTAATTAATTTCCTTCACTATTTTCCATGAACTTATGGAGTTTTACATATATATATATATATATATATATATATATATACTAATTTTGCAGAATTCAATTTTGATATTTATTCTATAATTCTTGTTTGTTTGTAGATAAGCATTTGATATTTTAGGCTAATTAACATTTGGGAAGGGGATGTAATTAGGAAGTAGGCCATGAAACTATTGACTTTTTTTTTTTGGCTGGGATCTGTGGTGGCATTTACAGCTGATGCTGTTCTCCGTGAAATTTATTATTATATTTTATTTTTATTTTTTATTTTTTAAATGCATAGAGCATCCACAATGATGCTCTCTATTTCTTAACTAAAATTTGGCTAAGAATATAAGAAAGCTATTTTAGGAGCTCTCTAAAAAATTTCAACTCACCCATACTCCCTAATTTGGAGAGTCATAAATGCGATAACTCTTTTTTGATTGGTCCATCTCTATTAAAAAATAAAATAAAAAATGGTTAGCATTAAATAAAGTTTGAAATACTCATTAAATAAAGCAGCATTAAATTATAGGGGAGCCCACTAGGAGTCCTTTATCTCTCCTCAGATTTAGGAGCTCCTAGAGGACTCCTATTTTAGGAGGTGGATAGGGAGCGTGGTTGGAGTTGTATTTTATCATTCCTCCCTAAAATTTGTCTAAGGAGGTGGTTTAGGGAGTCCATTGTGGATGCTCTTAAGGGAGCTTGGGAATGGAGTTTATCGAAAAGAGAATGCATATTAGTAAGTACATGCTATTGGGATTGCATAAGTATAGGTAATAACACTAATGTCCTTATGTCTTTTTTCCCTTGAACTTGTGGATTGGAGTTGAATTATATTGATAAGTTTTAAACACTTGTGGTTTTAGAAGTGATACTGAAATTTTGAATAGTTAGCGGTTAAAAGTGTTTTGCAAATTTTTATATTTTTAATGTGCAAATTGCTTAACTTTTAAATCACTTTGCAAACGTGCATGCGTATTGTGTAAAACGTTTTAACAAGTGCGTCGCATGTTGTCAAAAAAATATATATACTACAACGTACATTGCATACTGTCGTAAAGCATTTAACAATGCCGCACCGCATGTTGCGAAAGTCAAAACCTTTTAACGACATGGGCTACTAACAAGGTGCTCTGTCGCCTGGCGTGTTGGTTGAAACCCTTTAACAACACACATTCCGCATGTGACTCCTCCTCTCAACAACCACCAACATTCGCGGAGGTCGCTGCGTGTGCAACAATCTGCAGCAGCAGACTCAACATCTTGTTCCCCTCCTTGCGTTGGTGTTTGTTTAAAGGTTTCAAACAACACGCAGGCCACCGTTGTAGTAGCCCTTTCGTTTTAAAATAGGGTCTCAGACTTTCGACACTATGAGCGTGCGCATTTTTAATTGCCTTTAAACTACAGTCATGTCAATGATAACGTTGGTAGCTATATAATGTTTTTGTACACATGTCGACGCACGTTGTTAAACTTTTACGACGAACCTACGCCAAGGCTCGACAACGTTGCCTCAAGGGCACCTCTAAATACAATACAGTTAAGCAATTGCACATTAAAAAATATAGAAATTTTGCAACAGCACATTATTAACCGCTATTATTCCAAAATTGCAGTATCACTTCCCAAAACCACAAGTGTTTAAAATTATCAATTCAGTTCAACTCCAATTCCTACAAGTTCAGGAAAAGAAAGGACAATAATTTTCCCTATTACTGTGCACTCCCAATAGCATTGTACATTACTATATAGCATTGCTCTTTTTCGATAACTCCATTCCGCACGCCGTCCTTCAGAGCAATCCCATGGACTCCTCTACACAACCTCCTTCAGCACATTTTAGCGATGAATGATAAATACAACTCCACCACGCTCCCTATCCACTCCTAAAATAGTGAGTACGCTCCTCGGATCTCCTCGAATCTGGGGAAGAAGATAAAAGGACCTCCGTAGTGGCTCCTCTAATTTAATGCTGCTTTATTTATGAGTATTTCAACTTTATTTAATCTAACCGTTTTTTATTTTTTTTAATTTTTTAATTAGCGATGGACAATTCACATTTGTTATAGCATTTATGACGCTCCATATTAGGGGAGGAATAATTCGAGTTGAAATTTTTTTTTTTTTTAGAGAGCTCCTAAAAAATAAGCTTTCTTATTTCTATCCAAATTTAGTTCAGACATCATTTTATTTTTTTTCATTGGAGGATGCTCAATGGCATTTAAAAAAAAAAATCATAAAAATAAATAATATAAATACATTGTCACGGGGATAACACATCAGATGTAAATGCACACAGATCCCAAACAAAAAAACAAAAAGACAATAGTTTCAATGGGCTACTTCCTAATAAATTACATCCCCTTCCCACATGTTACTTAGCCTAATAAATCAAATGCGTCTCTACAACCAACACAGAATTTAGATAAAATCCAAATTGAATTCTGCAAAATTTATTATATATATATAGATATATATATAAGAGATATATGTAAAACTCCACTAAGTTCTGTAGTGAGGAATTAATTACCGAATTTATTTGAGTGATCGGCTCTGTATCTCAGCTACACGAAGGAATATGGTGATAATTTCGTCAATGAAAGCGAGGGTTATTTTCTCTTGTAACCCTTTTATGTCGGTCAAAGTAGTCGGTCCAAATGCCCCTGCCTGGAACATATTTCATAAAGCTTACCAATAATTTAATCATTGGAATACAGAGACAGGAAGGGGAAAATACAATGTTAAAAGCGGTAAATTTTCTAAGGATTAAAGTTCCCAAAGAGTATTTGACCTCAGCACATGCGAATTCAATTCTCCTCTCGAGTGACTTGGATGTGTCTAGCACAATTAAATTAAAAACTTGTTGTGGTTGAAAACCACAAGAAATTGGATTGTTATTTTATTGTTCGTTGGCAATCATGAGAGAAAACAGAAACCAAACATTAATAGTTCATCGCGAGTGAAGGCAAGTAATTACAGATGTTGTTGTGAGTTTGCTCTGACTCTTGAGCCTTCACGATAGGGACATGGTGTATCAATTCTGTGACAAAGCCGGATCGTTTTTCATCTTGTAAGGCCATCTCCAACCATGGGCGGACAAAACCCAAAATTTGGGATTTTTAGCCCAACATCTCTCCAACCCATGTATTAATTTGGGGGGGGAAAAATTTTTGAGTTGACTAAAAAAAAAACCTGGGGCGAATTTGGCCCCCACTTCCGTCTAGGACAGATTTTTGGTGGGGCCCCAGACTCCAATCTAGACAAGCACACATAGTTTTCCCTCCCTCCCCTTCAAAATTGATGCAATGATGAAAAAAAAAAAAGAATCAACAACGGTTTGTTCTTTTTTAAAAAAAAAAAAAAAAAAAAAAAAAAAAAAAAAAAAAAAAAAAAAAAAAAAAAAAAAAAAAAAAAAAAAAAAAAAAAAAAAAAAAAAAAAAAAAAAAAAAAAAAAAAAAAAAAAAAAAAAAAAAAAAAAAAAAAAAAAAAAAAAAAAAAAAAAAAAAAAAAAAAAAAAAAAAAAAAAAAAAAAAAAAAAAAAAAAAAAAAAAAAAAAAAAAAAAAAAAAAAAAAAAAAAAAAAAAAAAAAAAAAAAAAAAAAAAAAAAAAAAAAAAAAAAAAAAAAAAAAAAAAAAAAAAAAAAAAAAAAAAAAAAAAAAAAAAAAAAAAAAAAAAAAAAAAAAAAAAAAAAAAAAAAAAAAAAAAAAAAAAAAAAAAAAAAAAAAAAAAAAAAAAAACCTCCTCTTCTTGAGCTTTGGTTGGCAAGAAAGTGTGGTAGTTAGTGGTCTTCATGTTATCAGCCATGAGAATCGAATGGTTTTTCTTTTTTTCTTTTGGAGTGGATGAAGAAATTTGATAGATGAAAATAGGGTTTTGGTTCGGGTTTATAATGATGCATGGATGCAGTGTAATAGGAAAGTCGGATGATGGTTTACATGGAGGGAGTGTAAATGGAAATTTTATTTATTTATGAAATAATAATGAAATCTTGGCACACGCATATTAATAATAAAAATAAAAATAAACGTCTGCATAGGTGGCACATGGTAGTGTGATAAATTAAAAACATTTAAGGCACATGGAGCATGCTGCGCACGTGATAATAAAACTGCATCATGTGCGTATATAGAGGGTAGCTTAGCTATTAATAAGTGTCCCTAATGATCACACCCTTGGGATTAATCCAACGACATGTAGTCTATGTGATTGGTTAGTACGACTACATGTTTCAGTAATTTTATTGTTCTAAACTGAATTATTTACCCCAAAGAGCTTCTGCTTGATTTCCTAGGTGCCAATCTATATACAAAACTTAGCTTTATTTTGTCATACAAATTGGCTTTGAATACAATCTGTTAAGTTGTTAAGTAGCATAGAGGTCGATAAAGTCACTTACTAAACTTTTAAAGGAGCCAACAAAAAATAGAAAGACTATCGTGAAGTTAATCATCAAGTTATGAAAAACCAGACACTGCATATATAGCAACATATACATGCTATATTTGTGTCATGAAAAACAACATTCATAAAGGCTATAAAACCATTCATATGTATATGCAGAGGTTTTGTTTTGATCTCTCTCTCTCTCTCTTGCCTTCCCCTTTTGCCATTTCATTCTAATTCATCTCTCTCTCTTTGAACGAAGGACCTTGGCCAACAGCTCAAGGAACTCATCAGCTCCTTGCAAGACCAAGTCAGTTCCTATTAATCTTTATTCAGTTTATTGCTTTGCGTATTTTTAGCTTGCTTTCTCTTTTCATTGATTTTACCAAGTTTTCTGGCAGGGCATTCTGAACGACTACTTTGACGAACTGAAAGGGTTACAAGATGAAAACGATCCTTGCTTTGTCCATGAATGTATCACCATCTTCCTTCATGAAGCTCAAGATTACAGAGCAGAACTCACAACAAATCTGTAATTAATTTCCTTCACTAATAATGGGAATTTTTAGGAACCATTTTTGTGTATGATATATTTTCGTGTATTTGTTAATAATGTAAATATATATAATTAAAACAAAAAGAGGAACAAGAAAACAACAAGACACCATTGCTAAGAATTTCTTATGAAAATATACATAGATATATACACACACACATAATATGTGTTTAAAAACAATACTAAGAGCTAAACTAAACCATCCAAACAGATACATAGTTTATTTTGGTCATATGGAAATACAATGTTTTTTTGGTAATTAAAAATATTGTTTTAAGTGAAAGAGAAGTGACACATGTCATGGGAAAATGGGAGAATGTCCAAAAGAGAAGGTTGCTAGCACTTCCCGATCAATTTTAAATTGTATAGTATGAGCTCAAATTGACTCTTAATTTTTGCAAATCCTAGCCTTTTACTTTGGTCAATTAACTCAAATAATATTTTGACATTGATCCCATTTGCTGCATTTTAGGTGAAGCAAAGAACAAACAGTTTTTTTTTCTTTTCTCTCATGATTGCCAATTTGAAGGAAACTTGTCTAGATTGGAATCTGGGGCCCCACAAAAATTCTGCCTAGACTGGAATCTGGGGCCAAATTCCGCCCCATTTTTCAGTCAACTCAAATTTCCCCCCCTCCAAATACATGGGTTGGAGAAGATGTTCGGCTAAAAATCCCAAATTTTGGGTTTTGCCTCCCATGGTTGGAGATGGCCTTACAAGATGAAAACGATCCTTGCTTTGTCCATGAATGTATCACCATCGTCCTTCGTGAAGCTCAAGATTACAGAGCAAAACTCACAACAAATCTGTAATTAATTTCCTTCACTATTCCGATGAACTATTAATGTTTTGTTTTCTCTCATGATTGCCAAATAACAATAAAATAACATATCAATTCTTTTTGTTTTCAACCACATATTATCCATTTGAAGGAAAACTATTGTGCTTGTAGGTGCCTTGTTGGTCTAGACAATGTCAACCGTGAATATCTAGTCACTCGAGAGAATTTGAATCGCATTGCTGAGGTAAAATACTTATTGGGAACTTTTAATCACTTAGAAAATTTACACGCTTTTACATTGTATTTTCCCCTTCCTTTCTCTTGTATTCCATATGATAAACTTATTGGTAAGCTTTATGAAATATGTTTCCAGGCAGGGCATTTTGACCGACTACTTTGACGACATAAAAGGGTTACAAGATGAAAACAACCCTCGCTTCATTGACGAAATTATCACCATCTTCCTTCGTGTAGCTGAAGATTACAGAGCCGATCACTCACAATAAATCTGTAATTAATTCCTCACTATTTCCATGAACTTATTGGAGTTTTACATATATATATATATATATATATATATATATATACTAATTTTGCAGAATTCAATTTGATATTTTATTCTATAATTCTTGTTTGTTGTAGATAAGCATTTGATATTTTAGGCTAATTAACATTTGGGAAGGGGATGTAATTAGGAAGTAGGCCATTGAAACTTATTGACTTTTTTTTTTGGCTGGGATCTGTGGTGGCATTTACAGCTGATGCTGTTCTCCGTGAAATTTATTATATATTTTTTATTTTTTATTTTTTATTTTTTAAATGCATTAGAGCATCCACAATGATGCTCTCTATTTCTTAACTAAATTTTGGCTAAGAATATAAGAAAGCTATTTTAGGAGCTCTCTAAAAAATTTCAACTCCAACCATACTCCCTAATTTGGAGAGTCATAAATGCTATAACTCTTTTTTCATTGGTCCATCTCTATTAAAAAATAAAATAAAAAATGGTTAGCATTAAATAAAAGTTTGAAATACTCATTAAATAAAGCAGCATTAAATTATAGGGAGCCACTAGGAGTCCTTTATCTCTCCTCAGATTTAGGAGCTCCTAGAGGACTCCCTATTTTAGGAGGTGGATAGGGAGCGTGGTTGGAGTTGTATTTTTATCATTCCTCCCTAAAATTTGTCTAAGGAGGTGGTTTAGGGAGTCCATTGTGGATGCTCTTAAGGGAGCTTGGGAATGGAGTTATCGAAAAGAGAATGCATATTAGTAATGTACAATGCTATTGGGAGTTGCATAAGTAATAGGTAATAACTTAATTGTCCTTTTCTTTTTCCTTGAACTTGTAGGAATTGGAGTTGAACTTATATTGATAAGTTTTAAACACTTGTGGTTTTAGAAGTTGATACTGAAATTTTGGAATAAGTTAGCGGTTAATAATGTGTTGTTGCAAATTTTCTATATTTTTTAATGTGCAATTGCTTAACTATTAAATCACTTTGCAACGTGCATTGCGTATTGTCGTAAAACGTTTAACAACGTGCGTCGCATGTTGTCAAAAACATATATATACTACAACGTACATTGCATACTGTCGTAAAGCATTTAACAATGCGCACCGCATGTTGTCGAAAGTCAAAACCTTTTAACGACATGGGCTACTACAACGTGCTCTGCGTGTTGTTGAAACCCTTTAACAACACACATTGCATGTTGTTAAAAGACTTTTTTCTTGTATTACATTGCATGAAATGTATTTTAATAATATTATCATTATTTAATATTGAAATATGTATTTATTATTTGGTATGATTCACCAAAACTTACAAGCAATGACGAAATCGACGATTCTTCAATTCAATGCAATCAAATTTTGTTTAGGGAGTCGGTTTCACATTCCAACTTGAACTTCTTATAATTAAAACCCGAAACCAATCTAAACTTTCCTTTTCTTTTCTTTTTTCAGATAAATATTTCTACACTATAAATACTCCGCTTGTCATAATATATCAAGATAATTATTTACTTGATTAGGAATATATTTTCTTTTATTATTTATCTTTCCAAAATATATGCAAGCAGATTGTTAGTTTAATTCCCAAGGCACGATATCTACACATGAAAATAATTTTAGAATAATTGTTGTCAAAGATCCGCGGATAACCCCAACCCTTTGTTTTTCCTATTGTTGCACGGAAAGTCGTATGTCTTTATAATAGTCCTTTGGCGGTGAAAGAATATCGTAACTTTGAGGGTGTGTGAAGTGAAAAACCCTAACTAGCCACAGAGTAGCCTCACTACACTCACCCTGCCGCCCTCCTCTCTCTTCTCTCAATTTCTTCACTTCTTCTCCCTATAAGCTTCCGGCTCACACCAGGTAAACCTCTTGTCTTCGTTTAATTGTTGATCTCTTCTTCCTATAATTTTCGATTTGTTTTGTATATCTGAATTTCTGATTCATGTTTTACACAGAGTGAAGGTTCGGCTTGGGGTTTGGTTCCTTTGTTTGTCGTTGTGTTTTAATAATAATTTCGTTAGTGTACTTTGGTAATTTGGTTATTTCTGGTATTGGTTGACTGTTTGGTCATGATTATTTCGGTGCAAATTGCAAATTAGTTTTTTTTTCTTTTTCTTACCAGTATGGATAGGGAAGGATCTGCTTCAGGAAGTGGTAGTGCGCCACCGTTTCTTGATTTGAATGCTCTATTTACAAAGACGAGGTGTACGCTGGATAAGTTCTTAGAGACAGAGAATCCCTTTGATAATGATAAAATCACTCGCATTTATCAGAGAATTTTTAGGTCAGTTTATTTTATATTATTTATCAGAAAGGCATGCGTATATATTATTAACTGTGTGTGTGGGTGTTTTTTTATACTCCAGATCTCTCATTGGGGTTATTTCTGTAATCGAGTCAAGAGGGATCACTCGTGGTTACCTGCAGCCCCATGAAATCATAGTTGGTGGTGGCCGTGATGTTGAGTTTAAGAAGGCTTGGCTGTTAAATAGACCAGAGGAGGACAATCCGACCGCGCCTACCTACAGAGAGCAGTTTGATTCCTTGGTGCGGATGATCCTTGGTGAACGAGATGCCCCGAACTTGGAGTTGGATCATTTTCTCCACATCACAGCTTTTGCTGCTTCTGAACAACAGCGTTTGTAAGCAAGCTATTTAATAACTTTTTTCTTCATTCTTATTTAAATTTGTTCATATAGGAGCATGCACTAGGTAGGCCAAAGCACACACAAAGACAGACGAAATAAATAAACCCGAAAAAATGATACGTAATTCACCTTCATGCATGAATTTCAATGAATCACAATTTCCTTTATGGTATCATATGCCTCCTGTTCGATCCTCTCTAACTTTTCTTCCAAACGGTGATTTTCCCATCAACCAAACAGTTTTCGTCCGCTCCAATTCTCTTATAATCGCCTTCAAAATGCTCAAGTATTCAACAAAACTAAGAATCAACAAAATCAGATTGAATAAATGCGTAGGCAAAATCAAGCATTAAACCCGAAAATCGAATAAAATCTGATGCAAAGAATCTAATGAGCGAAATTGAAAAAGAGAAGACCAAATCAGAACACAACAATCATGTGAAGTACTTGAACCAATTAATGTAAGTTGGCAAGGGTGAAATTGGGCATGTATCACTCTTTTTAGAAGTATTATTTTCATTAACTGCAGATTCGATTTTAAGCAACTCCAACGGCATCCACTACTGTTATCATCCACTGAAATAACGCTGTTAGTATACCGTGTGTTTATTTGTCTCAACACGGAGGAAACGTCAAGTTGGAAAAATGACTTCAGGCAGATGATACAGAGGAATGTTGAGGTTAGGGACACAGTTCTTGGGGTGGATTACTTCTCAGATGTTTACAACTCGAAAGGACCCCAGTACTACGAAGAGAATGCACTGGGGGCATTCCTGTATTCTGCAGATGCCATTTTGGATGTGAATGGTTATATCCGGAAGGCCTTCACGCAATATACGGTATACGAATATTACTTTGTATAATGCAATTAGTTTGTTTAATTTATTTTTATAATATTAATTGTTATTATTCAATCATTGCAGAAAGATGAGGAAAAGGGGGAGAAACTTATGGTATTAACATAAACCTATAAATTTATTTATTTATTTATTTTAATTTATATAAATAAAATTATATATTAATGTTTACTAATATTAGCCTAACATGTGCTTTTATTCATTTTTTTTGCAGACAGTAGAGCAAATATTTGATGTGCTTATTTCCTTCTTCCCGCACATGCTTATTGATGTGTATGATTTCCTTGTAAAGAAGGGCATTCTAGTTGAAATTGCATTTTGGGGCAAAGATTAATGTAAACTTAAAATCAGAGGTTCTTCTGTAAACATTGTTTTTTAAAATCAAAGGAAAAGTGGAGACCCATGGCTATTATGGTAATTATATTCAGAGAAGTGGGCAAAAGCGTGATGGATGTGGAATTTTTTATAAGCACGACATGTATGTAAATCGATTCCTTTTTCTAGTCCAAAATGTATGAATCACATGCTTTTTAACAAGAAAAATAGGAAACAATCAAAATCGGGGCTGGATATTAACAAGGCCTAGTCCAATTTCAGGGATGAATACTCAAGCAAGTAAGGTGGTTGATTTAGCCAATTCGTTGGGTAGTGGACTGGGGAGTTGGCGTTTGAAATACTTGGGGCTTAGTGTTCAGCAACAAGCTCTCGAATAAGTTTGGTATTGTGTGATAGAGTGTATTAGGGTATATCAGGGGTATTTTTTGTAGTTAAATAAGGTGTACTTAATTAATTTTACATTATTGATTTAATATTAGGGTGTACTCTTTTAATTTTAGGGTTCATTTAACACCCATACTATTATTGTGATTAGGGAACTTGATTTTGGAGGGCACTCAGCTCCGCTTTGCTATCAAGAATCTTTTACTATTCAAGCATTGTATATCCGTACCTAACAGTGGAACATCTCAAGACTTCCCACTCCATTCGACTTTTAGTATGCACGCATGTAGTTTCCCTTGCTTGTCAAATTAAGCTTGGTGGTTAAAGACCTGTACTACATAGAATGGGAGACTGACGGATCAACCATAGAGACCAGGGACAAACCTTTCGTTTTCTTCCTCTTCTCGAAACTATATCTAAAGAATTTTGAAGCCAAGATTGGTATAGATGACCAGGAATGATTGTTTGTTCAAAATCCATTGCAGAGGCTTGCCTTCCTTTTGTTTTCCTTCTTACAGGCCCCTGTCTCTCTCGAACCTGCCTCATTGCCTCTCTAAATTGATTAGTTTGTAATTCTTTTATCCACTTTCAGAAGATGATTTACATGGCAAACATAAGATTTATTATGCTACCTGTCTAAATTCGTGGCATTCCTCTGGCTGATTGACCTGGTGTTCTGGATGCTATTGTTCTAGCTATAGTAGAACTTATAAAATAAGGGACAACAAGTTCATGGCATCATAGGGTAGCAAGAACTGCTGAGATATTATTATGCTCCCATCTTAGTTTCTTATTAGATTAAAATGTTAAATGGTGAAATATAAATCATAGTTGTAAAAAGGCGCACATAACAGCAGCGGAGGGAGAGGAGAAGACAAGTATATATGAATAGGCATAGGTACCACAAGTTTTATAAAAAGAACAGAGCAGCTTCTTTTCGAGTCCTTCCAGCAGTTAGGTGGTCCAGGCATTTAAGTACAAGGATAAAATGCAATCATGCAACCAAAACTGAAAGTCACTTATGGACCAGGCAATGCCACATATCTTAAGGACAAAACATACCTTCTAATAGAATTAGTTGTTTTGTCAAGAGCCTGATCGTTGATTGGTTTTACGGTTTGCGTTGGTCCAGTTTCCACAAAGAATTCTACAAAAATAGTCATGCTAGCTGGTGATTGAAATCCTACTCAAACATATCTTAAGGACTAAACCCCTAGGTTTTTAGCAACTGTAAATGATTGGTAAGTCATATACCTGGCTCTGATGTTGGGCCATGTTCATGTAACCTTGGCAACTCGAAATTAACATCACGGTGATTCACCTCAAATACGGGTTCAAACCATTCAGGATAAGCAAAAAAGCTCTAATTGCATTTGACATGTCAAGACCAGAGAGATATTATTCCAAAGAAAGAATTTATAATAAAATATATTGTTTTTCCATCTTAGTATATTGGTTGATAGAAATTTTTTGCTAACAGCCCTGATCAGTTAGGCTTTGATCTTGTGTTTTTTTGTTGTTGCTAACAGTCCATTCAACTTTGAGTTAGTATGCTTGGTGGTTAAACTTCACCTGAACTAAATAAACTGGGAGGATCAACCTTAGATACCACGGACATACTTTCGTTTTTTTCTCTTCTCGAAATCGAAACTATATCTGAAGAATTTTGAAGCCAAGATTGGTATAAATGACCATGAATGATTATTTGTTCAGAATCCATTGCCGAGGCTTGCGTTCTTCCTGTTTTCCTTCATATAGGCCCGTCTCTCCTGAACCTGCTTCATCCCCATTTTCTAAATTGATTAGTGTGTGTAGTTCTTTTATCCACTTCCAGAAGATGATTATATATGGCAAACATAAGATTAATTTTGCTACCTGTCTAAATTCCTGGCATTAAGTCCTCTCCATGATGGTCATCTTGGATTGTATATCGGCTGTAGAAGGCCTTGATATTATTAGCAATGCATATATGAAAAAACCTTTCACCTAATTTCTATACATACGGTGGAATATTTCTTTCTCAAGTAAGAAACTGAAAAAAGTAACAAAATGCAGGCACCTAGTTGATAGGCACTAAAAGAACCATTTAAAGTGGATGAATAACAGAATCATGTGAAAAGTATCTAATTCAATTGCATTCCCATAATACGAAATACTACTAGAATGATAAGGAGGTATTAGTGTAGCACTCATGTTCACACACAAGATGAAGTTATAAAATAAGGGACAAGAATTTCATGTTTGCAATTATGTAACTTGCATTAACCTGATTACGCATATAGACATTTAAAACGGCAAGGAAAAGTAAAAAGATTCAAGCGGCGCAGGAGGTATGTGAATCTGTGTGTGCTCTTCTCACGTGAAGTTCAACTGTGTCTACTCGTCCCCTTCAATCTCAAATCTGCCATTTACATAGAATACACAAATAGGACCATGACTACAAAAGCATGGGGTTTTGCTATTAAAAAAAAAGCATAGGGTTTTGTTGTATAGGAGGAATGAAACACAACTCATCTCTCCAAGCAACTGTATGTACAGGTATATGCATCAGACTGACATGAGTCAAAACGGTCAGGTAAGGTGATATTCTCGGCATCAGCTGAATAAGAGGATGACATAGCTAGGTTAGCGCGGGTAAGTTGTAAGATTTAGAAATATGTGGTCAAAAGACTCAAAGCTTAGACTATGACGAAAGCAGATTAAAAGAATGATAGAACCTTGATGGAACTGCAGAGGTGGATCTTCCTCCCCTGCATTATTGTTGTTAACAGACTGTTCGTCCACATGATCAAGTTGCTACAACGACAGTAGAAAATAGCTAAATGAGTAATTGTAGAGGATTCCATCAATTTAGAAATTTCTGTATGTGCAGTTCATACCTAGGTATATTCCTACCTACAATGTATGAAAACTCCAAGGCATAACAGTGGAAACATATATAATTTGCCCTTTCCAAAGTAACTATATTAACATGAGGGCGAGGGCTAGCCTTGGGGCATCAGAATGGTAACAAAAACTTCAACCAGGTGTCATCAATGGCGGTATAACCTCCATCGAACAGAAAGTACATTTCTCCCTAGAATGTGACATCATCACTCAGGTAGCAGGGCTAGAAACACAAATTATTAACCGTGCCTTGGTTATGAAGGAGAAATGCTTGTATGAACTTATTTTCTTCCCTAAAGAATCCACAGTTAAATCATAAATAAAAGACAAACAATGAAAAATATGAGTACCAAATTACTCAATTTTATACATGGGACGGGATGGGGTTAGCTCACTAACAAAAAAATATGAGTACCAAATTACTAGACAAAGAGAAGAGAATTGAGGGCCAGTTTCATCTAAAACAATGGAGCCTTTGCCTAGAAAATGAGGTTATTCCGCCCAACTCGAAAGTAATTATTAACTTGTTGTAACCATGAAATCATGACACCTTGAAGGTGAAAGCGTTAACAAAAATACACAACACACTTGAGGATAAATGTAGGGGTGGGCATCAATCTGGTTGAACTGATGAAACCGGTCAATTCAAATCGTAATTATCGGTTTGGTTTGATTTTGAGTAAGAAAAAGTCAAACGGTTTAAAAACCAAATCGAACTGTATATCATTTGGTTTGGTTTGATTTTGAGTATTTGTAAACCCACCTAAACCAAACCAAGCCGTCTACTTGTATATTTATTTATTTATATTATATTTTACATGTACTCTAATATCATATATATGGATGTTGAATTTGAAGTTTGATGGACCTTTGGAGTTATTGATATTTGAATTGTAGCTATATTAGTTTTTGAAATTTGAAGTTTTATGTCATGTTGAGTTTTAGGAAGGTTTGATACTCTAATAAATGAAAAAATATATATGTAGCAAGTTGAGAATTTTTTTGTTGTAATTGGTCTAACCAAGCCATTATATTGTAATTAGTTCGGCTATCGTTTTGTGATGAAACCGATTGAATCTGGATTGTGCCCACCCTACTGCATGAGGACCTACAGGTGTCCAAAAAAAGGTTCCTTTTGACAAAAAAACAAAAACAAAAGGTTCCTTCACTTTTTTTTTTTAAAATATCCAGATATAGTAATATTGTCATGGACCCAAACCGTTGGTTCTAGTCATGGATCATCATCATTTGGTCCGTGGCCTATGGGCCAAAGTGGGTAGCACAAGGCTCGGCCCGTTCTTTTAATTGGATAGGGCCTGGGACTCATGATTTGAAACCCTCTACCTGCCCACAAGTCTAAGTCGACTCGTTATTTAGGCCTGCTCAGCTCGACTTGTTCTTCAATTAAGTAGGTTCTAGGCTTAGAATTTGAAACCCTTGGCCCGCCTACGATCCAACCCTTCTAAGCCCATTTAGGCTCGACCTGGCCCACCTAGGCCCTATTTTTAGTAGATATACACTTTCTAACTTCATTTTAGACTTAATTAAAATAATGTAATTTATAGGATGAATTATCTAATGAGACATCTTGAGGGTTGTGTTTAAATTTAGCGAAGTTTTCAAGCTCAAAGATTACCCAAATAATAATTTATCAACCCAAAGTCAACGCGTACCTACATATTAATTAAAGCATCCATAAAGGAGCCAAGGAAATATTGAAAGACCACC